GCCTTATTGGATTCACTCTTTGGTCATTATTGCGCTTACTCGAGATTCCAAGTTGAAATGAGGTTTGCTTGGCGAGGCGATGAATTAAGTGAACGAGTCCCTCGACACAACTAAACATCGGTTGGTGACAACGGCAATAATGAACTAAAAGGGTCAATTTGTAGTCGAACGGAATGATAGACTTTATTTCACGCCTTACACGGTTTATAGTCCGGAACATTACCTTCTAATAATGTCTTCTTTCGGAGAAAAATCAACTAATGCGCGTTTCTGTTAGTTTTAACTGACCATTGTGTTAGCTAAACCTTATCGCATGATGTAAGAAATATATCGGGGATATGAGGAGAACTTCGACGATGAAAAATGATTACAATATATTACCCGAAGATTTTGGACCTGGTATCTGATATAGTTTGATCGTTATTCGATTTTATGTCAATTTGATTTGATTTTAAGATTTAATTGAAAACTGTATTTATATCAGTTTATTTTATGCCAATTGGCTGGGTTTGATTGGAATTATCATTGGTTTTAAAACGGCCTTATAACATGAAAGTTACGCTAGCGCTCTGACTCAGCTTTACGGAAACTGGCGAAGATTGACAAATGTGGTTTAAGAGGCAATGAGGAATAATTGAAATTAGTTTGCATACTTTGATTATAAATACTTAATGATTTGAGTTTTAATATGAAGATGAAAAACTAGTATGATTAAATAACTAGTTGTATTTGATTATTACTATGATTTGACTATATGTATGATTTTGTATACGACTATCCAGAAAATACGTTGTATGGCATCCTTGAGCTAACTTCTGATTAAAAAAGAAAATTACCATTCGTTTAAAGAAAAGAACGCCCACAATAAAAACAACATTTAATAAAGTCGCTTAAAGCGGATATTAAGGAATAATTAAGTTGTCTTCCTTCCATTTTATCTTAATCTATCTATTAAATTTACACAATACCTGCTTATTTTGTTCAAATTTACTTCTTACAACGTATCCGGTTACCATTGTCGTGATACAAAGCCGGAAATTTGCAGAAAGCTAACATTTCCGTAAAATTGGAAAGTTTTATGTTGGATGGCAGATAGACAATCGACAAAACGTTTGGTGCACTGATTTGATTGATTATTGAAATTCGAAATTCCAGGTTTACATATCATATTTTATTGAAGCGTGAATATAGTTAACAATAACAATATTTCCCATGTTGATTTGTTCTCACATTATATGCGAATATTTACTGTTAGACTCTTCGTCCCGAATCATTTATCACTTGCAAGTGTGCAAAATTTTTGAAAATTTCAAAATTTTCTGTTCAACATGGCACGCAACCCCGCATCCATCACACTTTCCTAACGCTGGTTCAGGGATACTTAAAAAATTGGTACGCCGATGAAGTGAGTGTCATTGCGCGGATTATATTTAATACGTCACATGCACATAAACCTTCTTTACATACATTTAAACAAGAACTGATGAAATTTGCGCATGTTGACAATAATTATTACACAATTCAGTAGCAGTTATAACTATCCTTACATTTTTACATTTTCTTTTCTTGTATCTTATACCAAAAGTGTCCGTAAAAAACTAAATAAAACAAAAATTTCGTAAATTATTTAAATGTGTGTCAGAATTATCCCCGAACATAATATGGATTCTATTATACCAAAAGGTATATGTTTGTGGTTAACTTTTAATGCATAAGTAAGTGTCACCAGAAGTTATAGATATTCAGGGCACAATGTTACAATCACGTGACAAGCCGAAAACACATTGATTTGTTCCCTTCGTTGTAGAGAAAGATTCACTAAGAGTTACCGAATCGAACGACTCTCGTAGCATTAGTCAGGGCATCGTCGTATACGTCACCGAAAATCAATTGCATTTGAAAATAATGGTTAATATTTTCAGACATGATAAAGAGACGGAGATACTGTTGTATTTCATTGCTGGACAGGAAGCTTAAAATCCTTTTACGGAGGTCTGGCTTTGTAATTTATATCATATTTGTTTGTCTTATGGGTTGCAATTCGGAAAGGAACATGTCGATTCTCGCAAATTCTAGCACAGATAAGAATCACTCATCATACGAATGGCCTTTAGAGGTATTTAACTTAACATTCACCTTTCAAAAACCTAACAATCAAGATCGGAAAGATGCAGCCCATGGGATTTAATGGCATTATAGCCAATAATGGTCTGGAATTAATTGCAGTATCCACGCCTCATTTATTGCATGACAATTAAGAAACACGGAATGGCGAATAAAATAATGATTCGGCACTCTTTCAACAGTTTATAAATTATTCCCAAAACACTCACCTGCAAGAAATATTAAAACTCACTCTGTAGTACGACTAAAATGAGAACGCTTTACGTGGAATTACTTGGAGCTGTAGTCAATAAGGTAACAGTCAAGATTCTATGGTATTGTGAAGGATACATGTATTTCAATGTGTGTTTGTCTTTATGTACGAGTTGGGAGCCGCGGTGGCTATGTGAGTTAGACGCTTGCTCGCTAATCTGAAAGTCCAGGGTTTAATCCCGGCATAGGTCGAGATAATACCTTCGGATTTTTCAACCCGGTTTGCCCCTGTCAGTGATGCAAGTGAGTGGGGCTGACATGGGAAAAGCGTCTAGTCGTTTGGATGGGACAATAAACCGAGTGTGCTACAGGCTGTGCACGTTAAAGACAGTTGGAAATCGAAAAAGAGCAGGCTAATGCCGTTGTCCTGGCAAAATTTCCCTCATTGCACCCTGCATAGCGTTGCCCGTCTTCATTAGCCCACATGGTGCTGAAAAGTAGCACGTAAAACTCCATTCATTTCATTTCATTTTATATACGACTTGGCCAAACTACACCCTGGTTATAGTTTTAGTCACGTGATCAGAGGCTAGGCTAGGCTATCTTTGGCGGGAATGTATCTCTCGCTTTTGTATCTTGGTTGAACTGCAAGAAAGGTGTATAGCTTTTGAGGTGGATTATTGGGTTGGCGAATGTAGGCTATTAGGTACTCCCAAGAACCAATTTATTTGAAAAGAATGGCCGTTGATCTTAATTTTCGATTGATGTAGGAGGCTCTATATTAAACTACTGAAGTTCTGTACAATACAAGCAATAGGAGGCAGTCGTGGAAAGCGAGGCTCGTAACGCAAACGACTTCATCTGTTGAAATGATTTAAGATTTTGTGAGGAAGGTTTTGTGCTAAATAAGTATATATATATATATATGTTGCTAATTTGTCCCTTTAGAATGCCTTGTTTTTGTGTACTTTTGACATTTGACGAACAATCTTCAATTTCTATTAAAGTCTATGCCATTTATTATAATAGTGTACCTTAAAGAGAGAGTCTGATTCCTATAGAAGGTTGGCAAAGTTAGGTCTAAAGATATAAAACTCGTTAAAAAAAAGTTTTACTAAAAATATCGTGCCGTTTATTTTCATAAAAATATAGAGGGTTTACGTAAACCTTTTAAAGAAACTTTGATTTTGGTTGGTGTTAGATAATTCTTTTATGGATTAAAACAAAACGCCGAAATTGTAAAAAAAAATTTCTCTTACTAATTCTGAATGTTTCTGAATGTCGAGCTGTTGTAAGATCGATAACCAAAATAAATCTTGGGTGCTTACTTAAAGAATTGGTTCACTCCCCTTTAAAGCAAATTGAAGTTGATCAAAAAGATAAATAACATTAATAGCACATTGTAGAAATACTTTCACGTATAAATTTCCACCTTTTTAAGAACGAAGTTTTGCATGCTGCAAAAATAGATAATTGTATAACATAAACATTAATAGAAATGAGTAAAAAATAATACATTCAGGCTGACATATATAGAATTGAGCGAATTTTGACACTCTTTAGACCAATTGTTAACTCTCCGGGACATTGACAAATGTAGAAATCACATTGAAACATCGTCAATAATGTCTGAAGTAAGAAAATTGCTTTCACCTAGCTAAAATACAGGAGAGAATACAAACGGCCTACCGTGAAGTTACGATAGCACTCTGCAACATATTACGGTAATGAATGGCAGCCATTATTTACCCGAACTATGCTAATATTGTCAGGTGATTAAATGATATTTGATTTTTTCGGGACTACAAGTGTTTGTAAGCAAAGACAATGAAAACAAAAACTTCGTTGGATATGGATTCACATTATAAATAAATCATATTCGTGAAACGAAAGGTATTAAATGCATTAAATGCACAAGTAAGTGTCAGTATTATTTCCAAAAGGTTCTATAGTTTAGGTCGAAATATTGCTATCATTTGACAAATCACTGCTCAATGTCGGAAGCAAAGAGTCTCGCGAAAGGAGACGAAATTGACCACCTTTTACCGAGACAGATTCAGCTCTATATAGAAACTGCCAAGGATTGCCGAATGAAGAGAACACCGAATTCTCACAATATGCACTCATACAACTACTGTAATAAGACGTAAATACCCACTAAATATCACATGAGATATTCTTATCTTTTAGTTTATCATTGGAGCATTTTGATAGCATGTAGGCCCTAAAGAACAATCAATTACGGAATAAATACTCCATTACTAGGAAGAAGTAGAAATGCTTTTAATCAGACTAGACATTTGAAAAGTTTGCCATTTCACACAGACATTATTCTTTTCATGCAGATCAAATCAATTGAAATTAGACTAGGCGGTTAATGAATTACTTTTATATATTTAACAAGCACTTCAGGTTCTAGGAGTTTGACAGCAACTTTCATTACGTTACCTTTAATTCAATCGACCGTATAACATAGCCATTAAAATACTTTCAACTCCATTTTGAAGCTGAATGGAATTTGAAATAATGAGCATTTTAAAAGAAATTTTTCTGTATTAGTATACATATTGTAAGGCCTATAATGGGGTTGTTTAAGAATAATTTTGTTGTGATTCTTTGAAGCAAAGAAATATCATCAGCGACATAAAAAAAAATCAAGTGTAGAATATTTGTTGATGTTTCAGACATACCAAGAATATAGTTGGAGGCTGTCGGAGGATGAAAGGTATAGGTGTGGCATTTTTTTTTCGGGGGAGGGGGGATTTGATTTTGGTATTGAATAGATATAAAGTCTTCAGAACTACTAGAACTGAACGAAAATCGCATAATTCCTTTAAAATGCCTCGAACAAGAATTATTAAGATATCCCAAATTTGAACTTGACGAAGTGGGACAGGATAATTGAGTCTACTGTATATACATGACGTTATTGTACATGCAAATATTCAAGTCTGTTAAATGGATGACTCGATGAGATCACATTCAGATAATTCTGGATAAACTTTGATTTGAAAACTCAATTATTTTAAGCTGTGAACTTGTTAGATTAGCAGAGCAATTCACGTTTCTGAGACCAAGATATGATTTACTCCCGGAAATCTTATTCCTGGGACACAGTCACCTCTGTGATAATTTATTCATGCTGCGTGACCCACGTGGTTTTAATTAGATATGCATTCACTAACAATCGTAGGAAATGCCCTTAGTTAAGATTTAAATTATTAATGTATATTCTTATCTTTTTTTCAAACTAAAACTGTAGACAATAAGGTCTTCCTGTTTTGCTGACATTTGAATGGAAGCCGGATAACATTGAATCATTTGATATAAATTGATATGAAAATGACCAATCTTATCATGATTATAGTCTAAAGAGAACAATCATTACTGTGGTCATCAATACAGATTAAATTTATGTTTCTATACACTAGAATGTCATTCGTCCAACTAAGTTCTATTGCAAATCCTATTTATTTCAAGCTAACACATGATTATAAGAAGAAAGCAGCAATTACAGATTTTGTTTGTCAATCACTTGATCCGAAAACAAGCTTACAATTATCTTGAATTCTTAATCTTTATTGTTTTCCCATTTCAAACTGCCAATTCAATTATCTGCCGGTCTTTTTAACAAGGTTGTGTGAATTGTGGCTGAGAAAATAGATCAAATTATTTTGTTAAATGTTAAAACGTTCATTGATCTTTACACATAGACTAGCTGGCATCTCCACCACATACCCAATCAACCAATAAACACGTCAAACACACCGGTCAATATTTAGATAGCTCACACACATCAATAAGTGTGTTAACAGGTCACCAAATGTACTGATGACTGACCGTTTCGATAAACGCATCAAATACAAGAAACACGCAAAATAGTAAATTTTGTAAATTTAGTGACCACACGAATTCATGAGCTTCTGTATCAACACAGGGGCAGCTGAGCAAGAACGTCAAACAAACGAAATGTAAGCAAGAACAACAAACAAACGAATCTGTGATTGAGAACGTCCAACACCGAATCTGTTAGCAAGAACGACTAACAAACGAATCTGTTTCAAATACTTATCTACAAATACATATCTAGCTCAACATATCTTCAAATGCAAAACGTCAAACATAAAACTCTACCATCAAATGTTCAAATACAATAACAAATCTCCCTCAACAAATCCTGCGAAACATTTCTCCAAATACATGTCGAATATATTTGATATATGACGACAGATGTCGCTGTACAGGCAACATAAAATAAGATATAGACTATAGATAACCTCTATCATCCAGTCCAAGGATTTAAAATCCTTTCCTTTCATAGCATTAACAAGTCAAGTGACATTAACAAACCATAGGCCTAGTCTGTTAAAAAATATTCATGCAAATGTCTTGCAATAATTTTGTCATGAATTCTAGGCCACTAAAGCCTACCGTATTTGCAAGTACATTGGTATATCGCATTTTTATATCCTCCTCAAAATATATATCTACTGTAGGCCTAGTCGCTAGTGTTAGTGTTAACATGTCTTTAATTTGAAGAAAATCTAAACATGACCATATCATAAAGGACTATTGTCAACGCGAAACTTGTTTTTACAGAGTACAATTTTCAGGAAATTGTTTAGCATTTCTGTTCAAAGTCTCACTGCTATTATCAAGATAAAGATATACTAAATGAAAAAATAGGCTCAGTGTAGAACTCGACAAATTTTGATTTGCCCACAATGGCACAAAGCTGTAGGGTAGGTGTTGTGTAGACACTAGTCTGTGTGATTTTCTAGAAAAACATTACATTTACTGATATGCTTACTAGGTTTAGTCTTTATATGCTATAAATAAAAGTAACCGACAATAGCCCAACTAAAATGAATTTTCAAAGTTGTTGGAAATCGAAAATAATTATTAACACACACAAGAACCAGAAATTCTTCTTGGTATTTAGCAAACTTACCTGTCTTGAACGACAATTTATTTTGACTTTGGTATATTATATTTCATCTTTTATTTATATATGTATATTTTTTTTTTTTGTATAAATTGTATACGTTAAGATTTTGACATTTGTTTCTCGTGCATATTACAAACTTCCTTCAACAAAATTTGCATTAATCTTTTAATCTTACCAAGTAAATTTAATTTCCATTATTTATGTTTTTCTTTCGTGTAAATTATACTCCGAGATAATCCATCCATTTAAATTACTACTCGGGTATAATCAAAATTCAAAGTTAGTTCTAATCAATTTACAATTCACTTATCCCGCTTATTTTATCAGATATTTCTCATGTTTATTTATTTTATATTTTTGTATTCTTGACTTCTGTTTATTTATGTTTTTCATTTATGTAAATTGTACTCTGAGATAATCTAATCCTCCTGAATTATTACTCAGATATAATCAAAATCTAATCCAATATTTCTATAATCCTCAATTGATCAAAGATATGACTCAACTAATTAAGAAATCAAAAATAATCCTAATCCTTAACTGATCAAAGATATGACATGATTCACTCAATAATTTTTAGAAAATCAAAAACCTGTATTAACTGACTACTATATAAATCGCAAATTCAACCTCATTACATATCATCCAATTTGATCCAATCCAACTCCCAACTACTAGGACTACCAACAACTACCTAGTTTGCGATATCAGCATCCGCTGGAAGCGAACGTTAACTTGTCACTTGAAAAAGGATAATATTTCGAAAACCGGTTCGTGTCAATTGCGTAAGTTTTTGTTTGACTTGTTATAATTTTTCACATCATTGTTAGCGTTATTTATCACCTAAATATATATTTTTGCATTTTTCATCATAACTTTCATCTTACTTTATACATCCCCAAACCCAGTGTGACTTATTTGCATAATTTGATCCCCACATTTTCACGCTAGCATATACAGTTTCCTCCTGTTACATCCGCTGTACATTCCCTTTCTAACCTCAAGTTATTTTCATTATGTTCCCCAACTACAACAACCACTGGCAAGAAGCCAGACATAGAAACACTAATCGTCAACCAAACCAATATCACGTACCCTACCCTTTGTGAAGGTGTTCTTCCAAGTTTTGCAGTGCCTCCATCATTTGGCAATCCTTACCCTTCAACAGCAAGGCCAAACGCAAAGTCTCTGAGTTGGATAGTTTTATCCGTCCAGCAATGAAAACATCAGCTGTTGACGCGAATATTAGATCCCTCAATCGGACATGGCTCTCTAAGTTTACGCAGGTCCTGATCGACCATTACCAAACCACACTTCAAGAGAAGCTGACCACCATTCGTACCAAGTCTTTATCATCACCTGCCGTCGACCGCATCGTTTTTCATGCCCTGTCCTGGGCCTGTCGCTCATAATGGGAAACGTCTCACTCAAGCTCAAACCAGAGTAACCATATCTCAACCAACTGAAATGGACACTACGCCTGCACCATCTAGAGCCACGACGCTGCCGAACCAAACCCCTAAACGAGCCCGAAGTTCACCTACTCCTAGTCCAGCAGACATAGGTAAACGCTCTAGTAGAGAGGGCACTCCCCTTCTCATTTCACTTTCAGACTCGTCTTCCCCTTCCACACCATCTGAATCTTCACCACGTGATCCAGGATCCGCCAACCTTTCTTCCTTCTGTGCGTTTTTGGACCAGCAAACCACCCCTCAGTCTCCATCCAAGTCGAGATGTATATCCAGACCTCCCCCCACCCTCGAACGAGATCCCAGTCCGTTCCCAATGCTACAATTCTAACAACTACCAAACCAGTACCAATCACACCGTCGACGACCATTATATCCGCTACCAAACCGTATTATCACCGAACCAAGGACAAATCATTATGGAATCTACCCGCTCCAAAGAAATCTACCTTAATTATTGGATCATCTAACCTGAATCGAATTACCAAAACCAGTTCAGACACTGAAATACATTCTTACCACGGTGCCCAAATCCATCACATACAGTCAATCCTGGAATCATACGACCATGATCCCAAACCTACAGAATGTCGTTGAAGTAAAGCGCATTGAAAATTGAACTGGATGATAAAGGCTATCTATAGTCTATATCTTATTTTATGTTGGTTGACCTTCAAATAAATTCGACATGTATTTGAAGAAATGTTTTGCAGAATTTGTTGATTGAAATTTGTAATTAAACATTTGTATTTGAACATTTGTTGGTAGAGTTTTATGTTTGACGTTTTGCATTTGAAGATATGTTGAGCTAGATTTGTATTTGTAGATTTGTATTTGAGGATATTTTTGGTAAGCTTTCTAGGGTTGTTGAATTAAGTGTGCAAATTAAGAGATAAGAATTAAGAATTAAGAAATAGCAATTGAATAAAAATTCATTCCGCCTTCCATAGTTTTCCTAAACCTTTAGGAATGAAACTGCAGGCCCGATTTCGACAATTCTTGTTAAATCTCGAAATTCAACCTTCTGCAAATTTTTTCAGAAATCTCGTTGAAAACTTTGCAATATGCCACATGAAAGCCTTCCGCATAGAAATCTCTCATCATCTCACAACTTCCTAGTCCAAAATCTAGACCAAAAATTGTTCAAAAAAGCATGCAAATACTAAATAATAAAAAAGGAGGGAGAGAGAGGATTTCTAAAACAGCACGGAATACAATCATTAGCATACAATGGGTCGGTCCACCAGTAGTGAGCACAAGCGTGATATTATATGAATAGATTAACTAAAGATTTGAAAATGCTAGTAGTACAGGGAAGGACCAAAATTCGCCATTTTTTTGTAAACAAACATTTCTCTATTATATATAAATGTTACATATATATAAGCGATACAGAAAAAAGCATAATGCTTATTCGAATCTGCCTCGCTGAGGCATACACAAATATTTCATTTCAAGTACACCAGTTTGTAAATTAAAGTCCTCATTTATAATACCAATAAAATGGAAAGTGTGGTAATAGATTAAAGAATAAGAGAAAGAGATCTAGACAAAGAGATATAGACAAAGGTAAGTGAGTGGTACAATGGGCCTTCTAATAGACATTAGCAATTTAAGAAATGAGTAAATAATCAAGTGATCAATGCGACACGTCGTATGCAGCTCTATGGTATCAAACGATTGTTGGTAAGTATCTAACTAAAAATAGAAATATATCAAACTAGTATTGGTAAGTATCAAACCAGTATTATGGTGTCAGACTAGTATTGGTAAATATCAATCTAGTAGTAGTGGTAAATATCAATCTAGTATTGGTAAGTATCAAACAGTATCATTGTGTCAGACTAGTATTGGTAAACATCAATCCAGTATTGGTAAGTATCAAACTGTATCATTGTGTCAGACTAGTAGTGGTAAATATCAATCTAGTATTGGTAAGTATCAAACAGTATCATTGTGTCAGACTAGTATTGGTAAATTTCAATCTAGTATTGGTAAGTATCAAACAGTATCATTGTGTGAGACTAGTATTGGTAAACATCAATCCAGTATTGGTAAGTATCAAACAGTATCATTGTGTCAGACTAGTATTAGTAAACATCAATCCAGTATTGGTAAGTATCAAATAGTATCATTGTGTCAAACTAGTATTGGTAAATATCAATCTAGCATTGGTAAGTATCAAACAGTATCATTGTGTCAGACTAGTATTAGTAAATATCAATCCAGTATTGGTAAGTATTAAACAGTATCATTGTGTCAGACTAGTATTGGTAAATATCAATCTAGTATTGGTAAGTATCAAACAGTATCATTGTGTCAGGCTAGTAGTGGTAAGTATCGATGTAGAAAGGTCAGCCATTTTGCATTCAGCGCCACCACAGTCACTATATTAAGTTCCTTCCCTTTAATGAGAGCTGGATGTCCGTGACTAACCAGAGCCTATATAAGGAACGGCACGAATTGCAATCGTGGCTCATTTGCCTTTGGCTACTGAGCACGTACGGATCTATTAAACCTAGCTTATTTGGAATAAATCTAACTTTGAACAGTTCCAATAGAAGTTGGAATCATGTCAGAAATCATGTCCAAAATGGTATATGTATTAATGGAGAACCGGGTGTCTAGGAACTTCTGATATGGCACAAACCGATTCATGTTCTTAATTCCTGACAAAACATTACCTCTTCGTAACCGTTGTGGCTAAGTATAGTTCCAAAGAGCCAAATGGGTATATATATACAAACGGTTTACTGGATTATTCCCGGTTCCAAAATTAATGTACTATTCATTTATAGGCTCGGATTATAACCATCCTGAAACTCCATCTAAAATTTAAAATTACTTGTCATAATAATCATAATATTGCTACGAACAGTTTACTGACAGGTGGTTGTAGAACCGATAGGGAGAATAATTGAAATATAAGCTTAATCTCAAACGCTTTCATATTTGACCTCTGACGTCTACTTCTGGTTTTATAGCTGTCCCAAAACAGCCAAATTCGCTACTTTGGACTGCTCTAGCTCTGACCTAATTAACTTACAGGTCTAATTTTTGTAGGTGCTCTGTCAAGTGATATATAACGATAGTTTTTTTTAATGTAAATTCGAAATTCCTGATTTTTTGAAATTTCAGTCTTTTTTTTACAATATTTTCGGTTCTTTTAGCTGGATACATGTAAATCTTATGACTGATTTCGTGTAGAAGCTTGAAATTCGGACCACAACGAGACAATTTTAAATATGAATTAAAAAGTTGAGGTGAACGTGGCACATCTGGTTTAAATGACTCATTATTGACATTTCGGGGCAGGCATAAATCGCATAGAATACATTTGTTCAAAACGGAACTTTGCACACAATTACCTCATCCATTTGGCCAGGTTGTGTTAAAAGCTCAATTGATTCAGCTTTATAGTTCAAAGATAGCTTGCAAGTACAGTAACAATTACCTGTATGATATATTCGACCTTCAGACATACACTTCTTTTGAACTTTTTGAGGCGATACTGAAAAATATTGCCAAGTTTCATCAAAATCCGTCAAGAACTGTGCCTTCTGGAGTGTTTACGGGCTAAAAATTGAACGCGTTTCAAAGAACAAGGGCAATAACTTATACAAAATATGTTTCGATTCTTCTGATTTTCAATAGGGTTCATCCTTGGGTGTTCTGCACACTCACACCAAGTTTCGTCAAAATCCATCAAGAATTGTGCCTTCTAGAGTGTTTACGAGCTGAAAATTGAACGCGTTTTAAAGAACAATAACTCATACTAAATATTTTTCGAGTCTTCTGATTTTCTATTACCACTGAATGATTCCTAACAATCGTGTGGGAGTTGATTTTTTTCCATATCGACCAAAACTTTCAAGCTCATATCTCGTGACCTTGAACTTCGGTGACCTTGTGACCAGAACAAATGTTGTCCTTGGCGAGATCTATCAAAAAATATCACCATTTGTCTTATGCAACGTTTACTTCCGGTTCTACAGCCATTTGAAAATCGCGATTTTTAAGTTTGAAGAGCTCTGTCACGTGACTGAATTAACATACGACAAAATTTCTGTTATATTTGCATGATCTCTCATTTTTCGTATTTTGATCAAATTTGCGCTTTTTTTAAAACCTGAAAATTTTGCACCGACTTCTAATGTAACTGTGTGTAAATTGGATTTTGCCGTATAAACTCAAGTCTCTAAGATAAAACAACGAATATCTCATGATGTAATAAATGCTTGAAACTTTGAGCATAATTCGGCATTGTACAAATGATGACGGATATAAAATAAAATTTTGGGGTGGGCGTGGTACATCCGGGTTAGATTTACATTTACCTAAAGTAACTTTGCATCAAAATAGGACAATAGTTTGGTCAGTTCCTGATAAAGACACGGTTGTCTGCACTTCCAAAAAAGAAATAGGTTATATCATTTACAAAAATTTACTATTGACCTTTTTTTTCATGGATAACCTTGACATTTGCCCGGTCTACGATGTCCGATTTTCCAGCCGTCCGAAAACAGCAATTATCAAAAATTTTAAGGCTCGTATCTCTTTTATTTGAACTTCGTTAACCTTTTGACCAGCACAAATGTTTTTGTGCTTAACGCGATCTGTCCGAAAATATCTTCATTGTGCAATGTATACTTGTGGTTTTACAGCTATTTGAAAATTCGACTTTATCCTGCCGAATGTTAACACCTTTTAGTATCGAATGATATCAAATTCGTGCCTCTTTTCACTACCGAACGCTAAATAGTTTATCGATTTTTTTTCATTAAGAAATCCAACATTAAAATGCAACGTTTCACCGATGCATTATCTTGAATACGAATGGTGTAGAGAAAAAGAAACTAGGCCCTGTTTTATAAAGATTTTTCCGCCCTTTCGATGGTGCGTTTTTTGAAACCTATTTCATGCCATCATAATCCCCCTACACCCTTTGTGTCTCGTCTGTGTTCCAACACAATTATTTTCTTTAACGAAACTGATCTCTCGTCAGCCATTTAAAAATGCGATTAAAAATCCATCAGTCCTGGTCGAAATTAAGAATCCGTTTTAAAAATCATGCTCTTGGGTATGTCATAAACCTATAGTTTATTTGAGGATATCAATGTATTTTGTCGTTAAACCAGCTTATTTATTATAATCCTCTATTAGCAAATGAGTATTTATCTACTTAATCAGTATTATCAATTTATACTGTACAACTCACATATCATAATTAATATTGATATCAAAGGAGATATTTAAGTCGTATATAGATGATATTTGTTTAAGAGAATCCGTATTTTATCAACACCTTAGATTACTTAAATACGCTATTTTATCGATACAGTTAATGGCACCACCTACATAATATAGAATTGGTCGAAAGTTTTTGAAGCAACTTCACCCACCATGATAAATAATAGAAAGAGCATATTATTAAAAAAGAATTGTTGTAAATTTGTGTTCCAAATATATAATAAGAGATTGATCATTTACAAACGAAAGTGAAAAGATAGTATATCATGTATATTAGGACACCCTTAAATTCTATACAAATACATGTGAGTAATAAAAATATTTTCCCATTATTAATATGGTGAAAATAATCAGCAAATGTCTCAATAAAACTGCCAATAATTCAGTTCCCAGGATGAAATATTTTTAAGTAGAGCTTGAAAAGACGTCGTATGTTTATGAACTGTAAAGGTTTATATATTTCCATTTAGAAAGAATAATAAGAACCTACCAGACGTGGAAAGAAAGTCGCTAGACGACAAAATTAAGGGAATATAATAAAACTATAGATGTTTTATTTTATGATAGACATTGTCTGAAAACAAAATCTTTTATTTTAAATTATTTCAAATACTAATCAAATCCCGTGGTACTTATATCAATATGTATTGTGGTAGAGGGAGAGTATGATTCTCAAAATTGTACAGGTCTAAGATGGAACAAAATATATTTCATTTATAATTACAAGAAGTGGTCTAGATCGGTTAGGCAGTCTTTAAATGGGTTATTCCAATATAGTACATATGTATAGTACACAATGAATCTCAAAGAAGAAAAGTGAGTTTTAGAAAATCACACTGGAAATTATCAGTTATTACAAAATTTGATTCTAAGTCGCGCCCTAACATACTTATAACTACTCAGATGTTTGTCGTGATGCTTATAGTCCAAGAATGACCAAATGATGCGTCTAAATTGTGTGAATTTGAACAGAAGTTGTACATGGTCATCAGTTGATATTTTCACTTATAGCCTACTGGAAAATTTGAGAACATTAAGGAAACTCGAATTTCGTAAAAATTGAAATATAATTATAGACTTTATTCTAGAGGCATAAAAATTGTTAGTATGCAACGTTAAGAAGTTGTTGATGATTGAACAATTTCCTTTGAGTACGGTACCTCACAAGCTATCAAATATGAGCATTTTTTCATTAACCATCAAGTACTCCCTGCTGATGAGATAATTAGAGAAAAGGCAACTTTGGCAACACCACAAATTATCACTTATCATCGTTGGTATAAAATCTTATTTTCTCAAATAGCTTGACTGAAAATAGAATTTCCCTTCAATGAAAATTGTCAAAATGTCATGTATAACTATCAAGGAATCTAGAAATATAAAAGTGTTTACTTCATTGCTTAACATAGAGTTATATTTAAACAATTTTTTTAAAAGCTTGTCTTTTTGTTTCTCTAAAATAGCGTGTCAATGTATTGAAAAGGGTAGAGTATCAACCAAACTAAATCTATAGCAACCATCAATCTGTTGCCCCAATCTCTAGCAACCCTCAACCTCTTGCTTCAATCTCTAGCAACCCGAAACCTCTAGCAACCCTCAACCACAACCGACCCTCAGTCTCTAGGATCATTCTCTTGCAACCCTAAACCTCTAACAACCCTCAATCGGTAGCAGCCCCCAATCTGTTGCCTCAATCTCTAGCAACCCCCAACCTCTTACCTCGATCTCTAGCAACCCAGAACATTTAACAATCCCCAACCACTACCAACCCTCAACCTCTTGCCTCAATCGCCTTTAATCCTGAACCTCTAGCTACCTTCAACCTCTAGCCTCAATCTTTAGCAACCCTCAACCTCTTGCCTCAATATGTAGCAACCCTTGATCAATCTCTAGCTAACCAAAACTTCTTTCAACCCTCAATCTCTACCAACCCTCAATCCTTAGGATAATTCTCTAGCAACCCTCAACCTCTAACAACCCTCAATCGGTAGCAGCCATCAATCACTAGCAATCCTGAACCTCTAGCAACCCTCTACCTCTTGCCTCAATATCTAGCAACCCTCAACCACTTGCCTCAATCTCC